TGATGTGCGTTGATGAGGCAGCACTGATGGTCACTGATAGGCACTGATAGGCAGCACTAAAGGGCACTGATAGGCAGTACTAATGAGGTGGCACGAATAGGCGGCACTGATAGACAGCACTAATGAGGTGTCACGGATAGGCGGCACTAATATGCAGCACTGATAGGCGGCACTGATAGGTGACACTGATTATGGGTACTGATAGACGGTACTGACTGGCATCACTGCTGGGCACTGACTGGCGGCACTGACTGGCACAACCCCTGGGCACTGACTGGTGGCACTGACTGGCACAACCCCTGGGCACTGACTGGTGGCACTGACTGGCAGCACTGCTGGGCTGCACTGGTGGGTGGCACTGGTGGGCAGCAGTGGTGGGTGGGCACAGGTGGGTGGCACTGGTGGGCACAGGTGGGTGGGCACAGGTGGGTGGCACTGCTGGGCACAGGTAGGTGGCACTTCTGGGCACAGGTAGGTGGCACTGCAGAGTGGCACAGGTGGGTGCACTGCTGGGCACAGGTGGGCGGAGCTAGTGGGCGCACTGCTGGGCACAGGTGGGCGGAACTTGCGGGTGACACTGCTGGGCACCGATCATCAGGACACTGATCATCAGTGCCCTGATGATCGGTGCCGATCCCCGCTCTGACAACTGCCGGTTCTCGGCAGTACTTTCCTCACGATCTGACAGCGTGAGGAAAGTGCAGCTGAGAACCGGCACTTGCATTTCCCTCTGATCAGCGTGTCATTGGACACCGCTGATCACGTGGTAAAAGGCCGCTGTGATTGGCCTTTTACCACATCACATGATCAGCTATGTCCGTAGGACACAGCGATCACGGAGATCGCCGGTGCGCGCGCCCCCTGGGGCGTGCAGGAGAGCGTGTTCTGGGAGGACGTCCACTCAGAACTGGCCGGCCGCAGTGCAGCCATCATTCGGCTATCTGCGGTCGGCAGCTAGTTAATTAGGCTTTGGCAATGAAACATGAAAGCTGACTGGTTTCTATATAGAACTGCACCAGATTTTGCACCCTCCAGTTTTAGTTAATAACACCCTATGTGTGAAAAATAGATGGTGTCAAAGGCCCCCACCCTGTTCACAGATGGGTGTTCCATTGTGAAAATTGTGTATTTTATGCCTCTAGCAAATCAGTTGTCCCCTTGTTCCAAAATATGTGCCTCACCATCCTCAAAAGAATGTTGCTTTTACTTCAGGTTTAGGAAGACACCATCCTCAAAAGAATGTTACTTGTTCTTCAGGTGTAGGAAGACTGCTGAATGTTGGCATGTAGAATTTGCCCTTATATTGGGCCAAGGTTTGTCCCCAAATGTACAGGCTGTTGCATTCCTCACTACACTGCACTGCATATACTATGTTACTTTGTTTGGGTGCTGGATCTTTAGGATATACAAGTTTCTGTCTCAATGTATTGCTGGACTTGAATGACAAGATGACGAGATGTTTATTAAAGATTCTTATTAGCTTTTCTCCCAATGTTACTAAATATTATCAGGCGAGCCAGATCGCCCCGCTATCTATGTTGCATGCTTCCTCAGACATACCTCTCTGGGTCCTCCTGGAACTACCTAATTGTGCCCCTATTGCGATATCGACACTTCTATGGCTTCCCTCTACCCTGCGTCCCACGGCACTGAGTCCGATTTTGCTCCATGGCTTGCAAGTGTGGGACTCGGTACGTTACTCCAGTGGCCTAATGTCACCTTTTTTGCCTTTGCTCCCAATCACTAACAACCCCCTCTTCCCACCAGGTTTAGATCAACCAAGGGCGTTTTCTTGGTGGGTGACCAATGGTTTTTCCCAGGTACGACACTTTTTGACCTCTCGGTCCTTCCCTACCTGGAATTCTCTTCGGGAGTCACGGGATGTCCCTCCGGCGGAGTTTTTTCGTTACCTTCAATTGCGGCATTGGCTGATCTCATTGCGGGGCACGTCTGTCTTCCCATACCAGAAATCTGCCTTTGAACAGCTTTGCCAACAACGGCCAGGCGCCCCAGGCCTTACTTCCCTTCTTTATGCAGCTTTGAATAGACGCTTGCCGCATACTTCTCTTTCATATGTCGTTCAGTGGGAGCGCGACCTGGGAGTGGCCGTGGGTCCAGAGGACTGGAATAAGGCCTGGTCACTCATTGCTAAATGCTCATTTAATACGACCACGCTGGAGGCAGCCTATAAGGTATTGTTTCGCTGGTACTGGGTTCCGGCTCGGTTGGCCCGGGCTAACCCTGCCTGTAGTGATCAATGTTTTCGGGGTTGTGGCCATCGTGGAGATGTATTGCATATCTGGTGGTCATGCCCGAGACTGTTTCGTTTTTGGTCTCGTGTGTTTGGCCTCCTTTTCACCTTGTTCCATCTCTCCATCCGCCGGGATGCTCGGTATGCTTTGCTTCATTGCCCCATACCGGGCCTCTTGGCTCATCAGCAGAAGTTGGCTTCCTATCTATTTTTATCGGCTACTAGAACAATTGCTCAGGCCTGGAAGAGTCCGGTTGTCCCTCTTCAGGGGGTGCGGGATCGTATGACCACTATGATGCTCAACGAACAGATGTCGAGTATCCGCAACGACTCCCAACATAAATTTTTGAAAATATGGGAGCCGTGGTTGCAATATGCCTTTCCCACACTCTCCCCGGCTAGTCTGGGGATGTAATGGCTTTCGGTATTGGCGCTCTTGGACCCCTGCCCCTTGCCCCTCTCTCTTTTTTTTTTTTTTTTTTTCCCCTCTTTTTTCTTTTTTTCATTCTTTCTCTGTTTTGGTGTGACTGGCCTGCTGCATTTAGTTGTTATAGTCAGTTACAGTAATGTTTTGTAATTTATGTGCCATTGATAGCCTCTGTGTGGGCGTACCTTTTGCCCTGTTGGCATTAGAGCACTGTTTTTCCTTTTTTTTTTTATTTTGCATTTTTTTTTTTTTTTTTATCTGTGCAATTGATAGCCCCTGCGTGGGCGTGTTTTTACTGCCTCTCTTTTATACTGTTTAAAAATTAATAAAAACCATTGAAATAGAAAGATTCTTATTAGCTTTTCTGACTTATTTTATTGCATAGAGGTGACTATATGTGTTGCTATGGATATTTGGTGGTTTTTATAGCTTAGACATTTGTTAAATTGTTAGATGTTAGGAACACGTGCTGTTGTAGTAGCTAAGCCTCCCCTATTGATACGCAAATACAGTTCCACTGGTTTATGAGCAGCACAGGAAGCTCCTTACGGAAAATGAGGTAGCAGGGAGAGAGTAGGAGGACTTTTGAACAAGTCATGTACTGAGACAAAGAAAGAGAGTTGTTTTGGAGAGAGAAAGAAGGATACACTTGTTCTGAAGATGGAGGAGGAAGCAGCTTGACTTTGAAAGAACCACGAGAAGACTCCATCACCAGAAAAGCCCAAGTTGAGTATATGTTTAGTATACCTATTGCATACATATTGTGCTTATTTGCCAAACAACTCTCCTCTCCAAGGTCTAGAAACCTTGTCTTTGTCTCTCACCACTTGGTTGTTCAAAATCCTAATCCCCTCCACCATGTTCTGTTAAATCATATCCTCTAGCCTAACTTCCTCTGTGAACTCATAAACAGGTCAGACTGGTTCATTTTAATATAAATAGGAGAGGCCTCAGCTTCTAAAATAACACATGGTCTTAAAATCTAAAAATTTAATAAATATCTAAGCTATACAAAAAACACCAAATATCCATATATATAGCAACATACTGTAGTGTTCTTTTGAACCTTCCCAGTGGTTTTGCTTTACCTTTTGGATATTTTAACAAAGGACCATACTGGGTAACCACAAACTATCAAAGCACTCCTAAGTTGTCACTATTTCTTGTCTTTAGTCTCTCTAGTTGTTTTTACCATCTCAACCTGATATTTCAGAGTCCTAATAATCCCCAGGTTGTGTTTCAGTGGGTGGTGGGAGCCAAAGAGCAGATTCTGTTCTGTGTGGGTAGGTTTCCTGTAGACATCAATGTCCAAGAAATCCCATAGCACAGCCATGTTTCCATCTGCAGAAGTTATCCATGTATTTGAATTAGGTAATGTTGAGAGAAAGGACCAGCAAGGAACATACTTGGTCTGGTTTGAGCTCCGTTTAAGCGCCAAGAATCATACCTAATTCAGATGTTCCCTTACAGCCTCAATAGCCTCTGCAGTTAGTATACAAGTGAAAAGGCATGTGACATTCTTGGGCATCCATATTTTTCTGGCTCTAACTTCAATCTATGTAACTTGTTGCCCAATTCTTTAGAGTTCTGGATATAGTGTACTGTATTGCCAACTAAGGGGTGGGTTTTCTAAAGGTAAACAGTTGCATAAGGAGCTAAGAGAGGTGGGGATGCAGAAAGAGCAGTACACTAATTTCCCCATTGAATGGCCATGGAGGGGTATATGTCAGCACAAGTCTTGGCCATTGCAGGACAGGCAGGCTGTGATCCCAGAACAGTCAGAAAACTGACCATGCTGGGGTGGCTGTGCTTCTATGGCTAACGTGGTTAGTTTGAAATAGGAAAGCAGAGGAACTGGCAGGATTACCAGGTATTTCTCACAAAGGAAGCAATACAAAGATGAATACCTGTTTAGAACAGGTACCTGGTAGAACAGACACATATTAGGAATATGAAATGCCGAGAAATCATATTCCTTAAATATACTTTCTTGGCTTTTGTCTTAAGAGTTACTTGATTATCTCTAATTCATTGTTGTTTCACTGTTCACACTTATGAGTATACTGTTATGAGTTATCATACTTGTGTCATAACATCTGTGTTCCTTCATAAATAAAGAATGAAGAAAAAGCAATATTTCAATAATCAGTGCTCAAAGCTGAACTTCAGGAATTACCTTGTTTCAACTCTGGCAGGCTTCCTCCTAGCAGTGCGACCAACACCTTAAATCCTCCTCTCTAAGGTACTGTGGAGGATTTACTCCAAAGTCATCACATACAATACAGGACCAGTTGCAATGCATTGTATGTGGGGATGGTGAAGGTCCACCCACAAGCTAGTATATTGGAGAGAAGAAGTGAGCTAGAATTAAGATAGGCATTATAGGTCCTATACCTCTACCCCTAGATTTAATAAACATTTCACTTTTGCAGTGTGTGTGTGTGTGTGTGGGGGGGGGGGGGGGGGGTAATGAAAGGGTATTTTATAATTCCTAGTTTCCACTTTAAATTGACCTTTTTATATCCATGTTCACTAAAGCTTACTTTAGACACTTTCTGGTTAGTTTACTAAAGGCAAGTACATTGCAAGTAAATTTGCCCAGGGCTTCGTGAATTTGGTGAAGTTTCACTTTGTACGAACATCCCTGTTTTGCTGTTATGTAAGGGTGATGTGCAGCAAAGGTTAGCTTTGCATGTTTGTTGGCTGCTCAATTCCTAAAGCATCAGTCTTCAGCAGGCTTGACCTTGCTTTAACAAATATGTTGAGCAGGCTTTTGGAAAGGTGACTGTCTACAAGTGGTAGCCTGAATTATAGATTCTTAGTGTGGGCTCTGAAGGCCCTGGCCATCTGGAGCGAAGAAGATCAATTAAAATTAGTTGGATACACATTCCTGCTATGAAAGAGA